AATAGCCCTCACATCAGTGATTATGAAATCACTAGAAAGAATTCTGCTCCGATTCCTTATCAAGACAAATTTGATCCATACCAATTTGCCTATAAACAAGGGTGCGGTACGGAAGATGCTGTGGCCACTTTGGTTCACATCATCACTAAACATTTAGACAAACGTAACACTTATGCAAGAGCCCTCTTCCTAGACTTCTCATCAGCATTCAACACAATACAAGCAGACATCTTGGTGTCAAAAATGGCCAAAATGGAAGTAAATCCATACCTGATTTACTGGTATGCTGCTTTCCTCACCAGTAGAGAGCAACTTGTGAAGGTTAACAAAACCCTGTCATCTGCCATCACAACCAATGTAGGGGCCCCCCAGGGCTGCGTGAGTTCAGCTGTGCTCTTTACTCTATACACTGATGATTGTCGTACCAACACACCAAATCAATTCATCATTAAGTACTCTGATGATACTGCAATAATATCTCTGCTCAGTAACACAGACGACCCTGAGCTGCACCAACAGGCTGTAAATCAGGTGGTCGAGTGGACTGATAACAATGCTCTTGAGATCAACACCAAGAAAACTGAGGAAATCATTTTTGGCTCACCATCTGACTCCCATAAAGTCCCCATTGTCATCCATACAGATGAGATCAAGCAGGGAGTTTCATACAAATACCTGGGTGTAATTATTGACCATCTGCTGTCATGGAAGGATCACATTGATTATCTGTGCAAAAGGACAAAACAAAGAATTAATTTTCTCCGCCGTCTTAGGTCTTTTGGCGCGAGCAGAGAAATTATTCTGTTGTTCTTTACATCTGTGATCATGTCCATTCTACAGTACTGCAATACTACCTGGTACAAATGTCTGTCAGCAGCGTTAAAATCAAAACTACTCCACCTGTTAAAGATCTGCTCAAAGATTGTTGGTCAACCCTGTCAGAGACTCTATGACTCAGCCTATCATAACAACCTAGTGAGGCTGTCCAACAACATCATCTCCGACCCAAACCATGTTCTGAACAGTGAATATGAACTGCTACCATCTAATCGGAGATACAGGGTCCCACGATTCAATAAAGTCAGACTGAAGCACTCCTTTGTGCATCAGTCAGTCCTCACAGTAAATACAGAGCTAAATCCCAGACCAAATGCACGCTGAAGGCTCTTTGAGCATGTTTTTCTCTCACTGATTGTGCTGTTATGTTAAATGTTTGTGTTTCATGTATTTGTGTATGCATATTTGTCTGTTGATGTTGGACATGGCGCTGCTGTGACGAAAGTCAAATTTCAGACTTGATCTGACAATAAAGTAATATCGTATCGTATCGTATCGTAATTCAAAAGGATTTAGGAGAAGAGACTGTGGTACTTTAGAGCAGTGGTTCTCAACTGGTGGGTCGCGACCCAAAAGTGAGTCGCGGACCCGTTTCGAGTGGGTCGCAGATGTGTGAGTGAAGAAAAAGTGAAACTTTTATTTTGAAGGCCCGATTTTCTAACGCTATGCATGCAGTCGGCGTTGGACTGGAAGTACCGGAGACCATAAACGGTTTTGAAAACTTCTGTCACGTAGTGATCATGTTCTCAATAAAATATCTTTGCTGATGTTTTTTCGAGTCTTCTGGCCAATCAGAATCAAGATTGTTGCCGGAAGTCCCCACGGAGAATAACTTTGCGGTAGAACTCTTTTTTATACATCCATGTTTACAACATCAGATAACAATGAACACATAATGAAATATGACCCCCAGTCTGATGACTGACAGGCAGGGTTGGGTTGTAACGGAATACATGTAACGGCGTTACGTAATCAGAATACAAAAATCAAGTAACTGTATTCAGCTCGCGTTACATTTGAAAAACGAGTAATCTGATTACAGTTACTTTCGTAAACCTGAAGTGAATACATTTTGGATTACTTATTGGAATTATTGGTGGAAAGATTTCCTCACAACATTTAATATTCATTACTAAAGGTACCGCCGAATCATCACAGCCCACAAAACCTTTTACCGCCGCAGATGGACCAAAAAAGCGTTTGAAAAAAAATCGCGGGTCCGCTCAGTGAAACAATAACAGCGAAACATGGAGGAACACAAGTCTGCGTTTAAATCGGGTGTGTGTGGTTAAAACACATCAGCCTGCGGTCGCTCTTTCTTTAGCCTTACTAATGATTATTTCTGAAGGTAAACACAGTGAAGGCGGTGCGTGAAAGGCACTGCGTGCTCGTCTTCTCAGAGGCTGAGTTAACCCTCCCGCTGCCTCCTGGTGCTGCAGAGATTTCATGAAGTGAAGGAGGTGTTCCTTCTATAAAACAGCTGCGGGCAGCAGATACTGTGAGAGTCACGGACATTAATTCATAGATCAAGGCAGACTGGTGCACACACTCTCCTGTTTTGCCAATCCGGTGCTTAAACAAATATAGCTCCACACCCCTGGCCGTAATGTCCTTAAAATGAAGTCCGAGTTTGACATTTTAATTCATGTCCTGCCAACACTGGCAGGACAGAAGGCGACACGCTCGTTCTAAGCCGTGTCCCTCACTCCTCACATCCCAAACTGCATCCCCAAAAAGTTAATTATGTTGTTACATCGTTTCAGATGTTGTGTTTCAGTTGTGCTCTTGATAAGCCATTAAAACAGTAAAAACACATTCCTTTTGCTTTTTGTGTCTCCTGTACACCAAAACATACCCATCTGTGATGGAAAAAGAAAGTAATCCAAAAGTAATCTAAAAGTAATCTGATTACGTTACTTTTTTAAGACACGTAACTGTAACTGTATTCGGATTACTTTCAGAGCCATGTAATCAGTAATCAGTAACTGATTACATTTACAAAGTAACCCTCCCAATCCTGCTGACAGGTCACAGAACAATGGGAGATATCTTACCCACAATTTAAAGTAAGTCACACAGACTATCTCCTCTTTACTCTTCTCGCAGCAAGATGTCAGAACAAAGTGAAAAACAAACAATGGCATCAAATATTATTAATATGTCGGGTAGCTAGTAATAGATTAATTTATTTTCTTCCCAGTGTACCAGAATGCATAGTTTATTAAGGCAATAATAAAATAATATAATTCAATAACGTGCTTTGACCACCAGGTGTCCCTTTCTATCAGCTCTGCACGGTTATGGTGTAAATACAGCCTATCTACCAATTGGATCAAATATAAAAGTCAGCCGAATTAGTGTTGATACTGCAAGGAGACGTATTGTGTGAAAAGAAATGTAAGATGCTGTTTAATTGCTTATATATTTATGATCCACGTCACATCTTCAGTTTTGGCGGCAGTTCTCCTGTTTGTCTAGAAGTCTTCTCAGCAGGGCTCTATAAATAGAGAATTACGGCAGATATGTAATATTTAATGCAGCCGAACCGTGTATTACAATGCCGTTATGTGATGACTTTCAAAGAGAAAAGCAAGCACACTCGGAATAAAGTATTATTGTATTTTTAAAAAACGTTTTCAGATTTCACATCACATAAACACCAAATCCCAGCATGCATTGCGGATAACCATCCAATCATCGAGCTGAGGATCTTGCATACGTCTGTTTCCGGTTTCGTTGTATGTATTTTGTTTAACAAAATACATACAACGAACACATTAAAATGTAAATGTGAAGGAATGTGTGTATAACAAAATTTGTTATACACACATTCCTTCACATTTACATTTTAATGTGCATTAAAGTATTTCGTGAGGCCTTCTAACATGTTTTTAAATATAACTACGGTTGTAGTTGAATAGTTTGTAAATTAACATGAACCGAAGCTGTTGCTTGGCAACTCAATCGCACAACGTCACGTCCGTTAATTCCACATCCACACGCATGGATTAACATCGATTTAATACATTAATGTAGCCTTTGTTTCTGCTAAAAGAGGTGTCGACCAGCTGGGGCAACAAGAAAATCGCTGTAATCGAGTGTGACTATTAAAAATAAATCATTACGTCGGGGTAGCATTTGCTTGGTATTTCCGGTTATTTCTCCACTGGTTAACATGGGTTAACAATACCGTGTAGCTGTCACGTTTGAAGGGGATGAAACCGTGACATCTTCACGTCTCCCAGCATGGTAACTCGTCACATGTTCACGTCTTGCCGTGATACCGGGTTGGTTCTATCAGGTAAAGCAATTTGGTACCCAGTTATTTTTGAGTTTGAATTTAGCCTTTGGAAGGTAATTTCCAACTGTGCATTGTAAAGACTGAAAGATGTAAAGCTCGACATGATTTGGTCTTTTACGTAAGAGGATGTTTGTCTCTGAACTTCTTTAATGCTTATTTTTTGTATTGATGATATTGTTTTGTTCTTTATTTTTGTAGTGAGACTACAATTGTGTAAGTGCTATATAAATAGTTATACTAATATTATTGTTGTTACCATCATTGCTATTATTAATAATGTTTTCTTTGTTTCGCTGCAGAAAGGATCATGCCAGCCCACATTAAACACCTGATCAAGAACTTGTGAATCTTCAGGCAGAAAATATGAAAACACCTGTTCAAAGTTCCAGTTCCCTATACATGGAACCATGCCTGTCTGGGACTCTGTTCCACATGTCTTCAGTCAGTCCTGGACCCTATGACTAGGACACTAGTTATACCAAGGCTTATTAGAGGTAAGCAGTGGTAGGAGAGGAGTGGAGTTATCTTTGTATTTGAGCTGCAAGTAGACAAAGGTGATAAAATGCTGATGCTAATAACGATCCGAGTCATTTGATATTGATTGTCTGCCAATACCGAATCCTTACCCGATTCTTCTATTTCCCAGATAATACAGCTGCACAATTACAACAGGAACTCGTCTTTAGACGGTTAATACAGAAGGTACATTTAATGTTTGTGTTTTTACCAGTCATAGGGTAACAACAGATTTGACTGGTGGTAGGCTAAAAGGCTGTTTTGTTGATTTTATTTTTCATTACATTATAAAGATCTGCTACATTGGAGGATTCCAAAGCTGAGCTGGAAGGGGAAGTCATCACCGACAGGACAGCAAATCTAAACATTAATTTGGATAAACTATTAAACCAGGTATTTTCACAAAGTAAGTACATTTGTTTTTAAATTGCAAGCAAATAATAATGACAGTCTTGGATCGATTTTGCATTTTAACTTTCATCAGCAACTACAATAAAAGAAAGATGGCAGTGAAATGTGTAAACAATCAGCTCATCAAGATATACACATATTCATTTATACTATTGATGAAATGTTTTTGTCCTTTCTTTGTCTTATTCACATTCTGTAGAAGAACAATCTGAGATACCTGAACAGCGTGAGCCGGCACCCTGGACACCCACACACCCCAATAATTCCCCTTCAAAGAGCGAGCCACATGGGAAGGTATATATTATTTCCATAGTGGAGCCTTTTTATTTTTGCTCCTCAGTCTCATATTGGTGTCTAGCTTTTATGTATAGGCTACTGTACACATTTTATGTTTCAGATTGTTGTCATTCACTTGCAAGGGGAGATTCCAGTGCGTCCAGAGGTCTGGGCAAAAATAAAAAACAACACAAGGGACTCCATGTTCGTGAAGGAGTTGGCTGTGGCGTTTTGGGGCACCGACACCTTAGGGGAAAGGAGCCTGACTGGAAAGGAATGCCCCACCACCAAGACCACCAGGCAGCCTCTAACCCCACAGAAGCTATCAGTTTTGAAAGGTATGTTCTTAGCAGCACTAGCCACTTGCTCTTTGTGAGATACCAAGTTCTTGGTTATTTGAAATGTAATATTGATGATGTAATAATTAAAACTAGGGATGGGTACCGAGCCCCGGTATTAACAGGCCCCCAGGGCTGAATTATTAAAGACCGTGGTACCGTTAAGGTCCAACGTTAACAATCTTTTTATCGGTAATGGAGACGTTAAAAAAATAGATGTCATATGTATTATTGCTACATAAACATTATATCGCAGTCTTACTGTCGCCAACTCCGTTTCTAATATGCAAAAAGACTACAAAATGCGTCTGATTTATTTTCGATCTTTCAGAAGAGAGATCTCTCTCCCCTGTCTGTGTGCGAGGGGGTGGGGCAGTTTACTTTACACACACACAACACACACACGATTTTTTTACTGGGTGGAGGGGGGAGATTGGACGGGGAGACACTATAGTGAGGCTATGAGGTGTGATTTGTGCCAAAGAACTAACTAACTGAGCAGACAATCGTGTTGATCGTCGCCTACCCTGACGTGAACTATGCCGCGAGAGAAGTAACGTGACACTCTCGTCGCCACCCCTCTCGTCTGAGAAGCTACGTGACGTCTGCGTCTGAAGTTACTTTACTTTGGTAGTTATCACCAAATAACCCAGTAATGTGACAGCTACGTTGCTGTTCAAGTGAGACTCTATTTCAATATAGTTTTGTTATTCAAATAATGTTACACCCCTTGTATGCCCTGAACGCAAAAACAACCACAAACAAGAATATATATTTGTAATTATCAAAATGATAACAAAGGCTGAAAAAACAGGAGAAGCCTGTCTTCCCTTGGTCTCCAGGAGAACTGTATATCACCAAGTTTCCATAGTTTTGTGTGTGAAATAGATCGCTGCAGTGAACACGACTTTCTGTATTTGTTTATGGTTTATTTGATATGGAGGGATGCAGTATAGCCTACATCAGGGGTGCCCAACCTTTTTTTAACCGAGAGCTACTTTTAAAGTTGCCAGTCTGCCGAGATCTACCAGTCCAAATAGAGAGGCGTAGTTACTGACAGCTACCAGGTAAATACACACTTCTACTTGTATAAAACTGACCTTTGTACGATGAATACTTCATAAAATACTGCAGATCCTTTATCTTACCTCTTTCTAATCTACACACATACAAGTATGTAACTGAAGTTACACAACAGTGTTGTTGATACAGAGTTGGAGTTTATTCACACGTCACATACTACAGTGGGTAATGTTTTCAAGAAACATTGAACAGTGCTGCCACATGACACAGGGAAAAAAGAAAAGACTCTGAACCCTTTCTTTGCCATTATATAAAAATAGTGTTGCTACAAAAGTATAAATTAGGCTTACTAATAAGACAACTCAGATCTGAAGCTACACAGGAATCTGCTGCCAAAGTGCAATAAAAAAAGACAAAATTAATAGAATCAAACCCTTTTTTTGTTGCATTTTAGTAGAGTATAACAATAAATGCCTTTAAAATAGGATGCAAGCAACACTAGTTTCTTAACCTGAATTTATAATAGACTATAATCAATTTAAACAGAACAGATCTTAATGTGTGCATTCTTATACCATTTTGTACAATAATTGTAATGAATAAGTTCAAACAAACAAAAACTTACAGCTGATTAATAACGGTATCTAACTTGAGTTTTTATTATATCAAAAACCTGTTGAAATGCTCCTGTTATTTTTACTGTCCCCCAAAAGCGCGTCGGCAGCCTCCAGGAAAGCTTCTTTCACAACTTCGCCGTCTTTGAAAGACTTCATGTGTGTCGCAAGAACGTGCCTGACACGATAAGATGCTGTGGTAGCAGCCTGGCTCTTGTTGTTGGGCCTGGTGGAAATGGACTGCTGTGCATTTAGCTGTCCTTTCAGGCCCCTCCCCTTTTGGGAGCGTAGGGCAGAATTAGGAGGGAATTCCGTCTCTTAGCGTTTGTGCACTGTTTTGAAATGCCGCTCCTAAATTACCCTTCTTCGATAAAGCCACGCTCGCATTGCAGATGAGACAGATGGACTTTGAATTGGAATAGATACACAAATAATCATCCTCCCACGAAATAGTGCCCACTGCTCACCAGCCACGCCCCGACACATGGGGTCACGCTGGCCAATCACAAAGCTTTGATGCGTTCAAGTGCATTATTCTGGCACGGGAAGATTATGTTATAGGACATTAACGATAAAACAGAATGTTGTTGTTCTATTTTTAGACACATCTCGCGATCGACTGGGAATCTCCTCGCGATCGACCGGTCGATCGCGATCGACTGGTTGGGCACCCCTGGCCTACATAGACGTTCAGAGAAGAAGCAACCCCTATATATTGTTTATTTCATTTCAATTTGGCACCATGGCAGAGGCAAATATAGAGTTAATGTGCAGAGATTATAATGTCCCGTTTACTAAAATATGTATTGTTTTATGTTTAGTTGACAAAAGTCACTGAGCTACATTTCCTGCACTCAAGCATACATCTGAAGACAAGAGTTGTGTCCCCCTTTGGCCACAAGGGGGAGTATAATGTGTATATATATATATTGTATATATATATATTTTGTATAGATGTTGCAATTATACAGAGCTTTGGCAATACTATATGTAACTGAGGTCATGCTAATAAAGCTATTGAATTGAGTATACCTTTGAGTGATCTGTCAGGAGGAAACAAAGGTTCGCCAACACATTACTCTACTGCTGAGAAAGGCTGTACAAAGACGTGAAACGATGTGCTGCAATCTGTGTATTTTTGAAGAATGCCAAGTAAAGGAAGAAAGTAATAACTATTCTGTTTACAGTTCTGTCATCACATAATTTAATACGATTTGTTAAAACATTGTTGTTTCTTATTTTCAGTTTGCTTCAAGCAGTGGCTGTACGAGAAATACGTGGAGGACCAAGAAATGCTGTCCGGATTGGCAAAGACCGGAAGATACATAACAGAGAAGATAATGGATATTAACAAGAAAAAGAAAAAATAACTTAAAAAAAAACGTTTATAATTTCTTTGTTGCTATTTACATTTTGAATTATATTTGTTATTTCTAAATCAAATGCATCTATTATAGATGATATATTTATTTAGATGTAGGTTTTTTTTGTAATATTATTGTATTGTTAATGTATAATTTATTAAATAAAAATACTGTTATGAACACTATACAATGTCTTTATTTTGATAGTTACCAGAATACATTGTATATTTAATACTAACATAAGCTGGTGATAGATAAATTCTGGTCTGCTGGTCTGCTGGTATGCCAGCAAAACCAGCATATGTTGTGTTTTGGTCACTTGTATGCTGGTCTATGCTAGTATGCTGGTGACCAGCAAACCAGCATACTATGCTGGTACCAGTATGAACCACCAACATGATCTACCAGCATGGACCAGCATTGGTCCATGCTGGTGGTCCATGCTGGTGGTTCATACTGGTACCAGCATAGTATGCTGGTTTGCTGGTGGACTTTTTTTACCTGACGCTGCCCACCTCCGGCGTCTATATGAGAGATCAACTCTCAGTGAAAGCAGAGTAACATGAAGTGAGATGTCTCACTATGGGATGCGCCTCAACGCGTATGCAAACAGAAGCATCAATCTCATTACGCCAATCCTGATTGGCTGGTGATCTTGACGTCAACGTCAGGGAATCCACCCACCCTTTAAGTAGCTTGCGCTACAACGCATGTAGAAGCAAACACAGTAGTGGTGGCTTAACCTCTTAAGCCCCAAGCCTGTTTTTCAGGTTTCAGGCTCGAAAATGACATGCCCAAAACAAAGGACTATAACTTAACTTCTAAAAGGGTTATATGAATAATTTATTTTATCAAAGCAAGGTCACATCTGTGAGTTGGATGTAGAAGTGTCAGAATCAATAAAGATGTTTCAGTGTCAGAGTAAATCCAGATGGAACATAGTCAAAAAGTGTACATTTTTGTCTCTGCCCAAATAAAACCCATTACTTATAGTGAAAACTACCCTTGAATGATGGGTTAGTAGCCTAAAAGCTTTAGGAATCCAAAGTATAACATATAATAAGTACCCTGTATCAAGATTGAGGCAAAACAAGTGAGAATTGACCTTTTTAGAGAGATTTAGCAAAAAAAAGTCCAAGCGGACTAAGCTTTGGGCACATTTGGTTCCATCAGTGCCATTTAACCTTTTTCAGGTACTAGACTGTAAAAATCATTGTACAACATTTAATTATCACTATAGGTATTCATTCCATAAAAAAAATAAAATATATATTGTTAAAAAAAAAAAAAAAAATTAAGTGGGTGTGCATGGGTGTGTGTGTATGTGTGTATGTGTGGTGTGTGTGTGTGTGTGGTGTGTGTGTGTGTGTGTGTGTGTGTGTGTGTGTGTGTGTGTGTGTGTGTGTGTGTGTGTGGAGTGTGTGGGAAGTTCCCCTCTTTGCATGAGATGCATGTTACTTGCAAAAATGAGGAAACTTAGGAAACATTTGACTCCAACTGGAGCAGATTTATTTAAAAAAATTAGCAACACACTATACAACAAGCATTTTTTGGGTAAAAAATAAAAACTTTATACAAACCCTGAATGTTACAGTATTACTCCAGTAAGTCATGCCATGCCCTGTAAAAGTTATTTTTGGTAGTGAAGCACAGAGGGACCTGACACTTCCTGCAGTACACAGGTGTCTTCACCCTTCAGTTGCCAGCATCAGAGCACCTCCTGACCTTGGTGGCATCTTCCCCATAATACTCGGGCATCCAGAAGCCATATCCTCATCGCCTTCCTCACTGTGAAAACAAATGTGGAAAAAACAAATAGATTAATTATCTGGCTTGTACTTTCAAAAATGTAACTCAAATCAGAAATAATTTATCTACAACAACAGCAGAACATCAATTTTGAGTGTGTGAAATAACATTATATCACTCAAAATGTATACCGTGTAAATTATGTGAGACG